TGCTGGTTCCGAGGCTGGCGACTTTCCCCCAGAGCGTGCTGATGAACTGGCTGCGCTCAAGAAGCGCTCGATGGAAGGTGCTATGGTGGACGCCGACCAGACTCGCATGGAGACCCTCATGTTCGAGAAAGCCCACACCCGTGCTGCCAAGCGCATGCGACGTGTGCAACGTGAAGTTGGCGCTGGGTTCAAGGAGCTCTTCAAGGCAACGGTCGCGGAGATGCCGCCGCCGCTTTAGTGAGTCTGGCCTGCGCCTCCTTTTTTGCAATATAACCAGCTGGAGTGCTCTAGCTAAATCGTTCGTTTCTCAGTTGTATGGTAAGGCTGACGCCTTTATGTTCGCCGAACACCGCCAGCTCCCCGCCGATTTGAAGTCGGCTAAGCGTGATGTCGCCGCCGCTGGGTGGCGCCCCCATTTCCTCCCTGCCACGCCTTCCCCTGGCGGTGGGGCCCACGGTGGGGTTGGAGCGGCGGTGCACAAAGGCCTGTTTTTCAAACGTTTCCTGGCCCATGCGGGCCAGATTCGGGACATTGGTGCTGGTAATGGCTGGATGTTTTTGGAACTCCGTACCCAGTCCTGTGCGATGGCCGTCGGCGTTGTATATATGATAGCTGACCTGGGGGTCTCGGGGGAAAACATCCTGAAGATGAAGGAAATCACAGCGTTCGTGAACACGCTCACTATTCCCTGGTTCCTGATGGGGGACTACAACATAAGCCTGGATCACATGGAGGTATGTGGCTTTCTGAAGATGACCCGTGCGAAAGCTTTACCTCCTGCTGGTGTCGCTTTCACGTGTAGTGCTGGTGGTGGTTCTTTGATTGACTATGTAATTGCCAGTGATACCCTGGCTCCCTACTTGCGTGTGTCCAAGTACCAGGCTTCCCCTTTCAAGACCCACTGTTGCCTGGAGGTCCGCTTGCCGTACGCAGCTTTGCTACAAGTGATGACCAAGCGTGTTCGGCCTAGAGCCTTGCCAGTGCATGAAGGACCTGTGCTGCCTTGGGAGTACCACTTTAAGGCTGAGCTGGCGGAGTGGACTCCACCACAAGCAGCACTGCAGCCCCAGCTTCCTCATGTTCAGGCCCACCTTTCCCACGAGCTGACCTCGTCTTATCTCTTATGGTCACGTACTAAGGAGAGGATGATGATGTCAGTGGTTGCTGGGGAGGAGGAGGATATGGAGGTCTATCGAGGACGGGGTGACTTTGTGGTGTTCCGACAAGCTACCCTTACTGATCATGCTCAGCGGAGTGGGTGTTTTGCCCAGCCGACGCTCACGTACTGGTCCACTGTCTCCCAGAAGTTGTATGAGATGCGTGTTGCTCTTAAGAAAGGTTACGGTTGTATGCTAAGATCCATCTCTTCTCGGCTGGGAGCACTGGGACGTCGAGTCCTACAGTACTGCGAGTGTCTTCCTGCCGACCAGTTTGCCCACCAGTGGCAGGCTCAGCTTTGCGATTTGAAATCGGTCGATCTGGACCGATGTCAGGAGATGATAGATCGTTGCACGGCTGTCCTCTCTAAGGTTTGGCAGGTTGCCCGCGCGTCAGCAGCTAAGGCGATTAAGGACTGGCTGTTGAAGGCGCTGCCTCGAGGTGCCGCCAAAGCCCACGCCTGGCTTAGGCGTGAAGAACACGAGGGGTTAGAGTTTTTTGCTGCCCCAGAAGGTATTCTCCAGCTCCCGCAGGAGATGATGGCTCACCGTGAGAAAATCTGGGGTGGTTTTTGGACTGCCAGCCCAAGCCAGATTCGACAGTTGAATGGGGCTTTGGATGAGCTTCGTGGTTGCGCGCTTGATTTGGTGCCCGAACTTCCTGAGATCACCACTCGGGACCTCCATCTCGCTGCGAGGGTCTTTTCCGAGACCACTGCGGTTGGAGTGGACGGATGGAGACCTCGGGATTTTCTGGACTTGGAGTTAGGTGCCGCCGATGCTCTTGTCGGGCTCTTGAATGATTGTGAGGCCAACATGATGTGGCCTGCCCAGATTCTCCTTAGTATTATTTGCTTGCTGCCTAAAAGCAAGGTTGATGAGCGCCCCGTTTGCAAATGCCCCACCCTCTACCGCATCTACTGTAAGGTTCGTGGGGACTTCTTGGGGGCCTGGACCCAGGGTCATGTTGACTTTTGGGATGACGCCATCAGGGGCAGCTCCGCCCTGCAAGCTGCGCTTCGCCGAGAGCTGTCTCACGAGGTGGCCGCTTTCCAAGAAGTCTCCAGCGTTGCGATCCACTGGGATCTCAAAAAATTCTTTGATACTGTTATCCCTGCTAGGCTTGTTCGTTTCGCCACTGATTTGAAGTTCCCACCGCACCTCCTGCACCTGGGCCTCCTCGTGCATGTGGCCCCCAGGATGCTCGAGAGTAGCGGCTTTTGCTCCCAGGTCATACCTGCTGGGATTGGCGTTCTCCCTGGATGTATGCAGTCCATGTCCTGGGTCAAGGTGTATTTATATCAGATTTTGAATGATGTGCATAATCGGTATTTCTTTGGGAATCCTAGTGTGTCTACCAGGTCTTACGTTGACGACATATCCCAGGTGTGCCAGGGAGCTGAAGACCAGGTCCGACGGCAGATTGTTGCCGCAGCAGTTCAGCTAGGTCAAATGGTCAATGCAGCCGAGCTTGTTTTATCTAATAAGTCTGCGGTTGTCGCGAACCGACGACCTCTTGCACTTCTTGTCGCTACTGATTTGAAAGCAGCAGGCCTATATGTCAGGGTTGAAGATGTCACTCGCGATTTGGGGACGGCTACCACGGCAGGAAGGAGGAGGACTGCTGCCATCGTGCGTGCCAGGCGGCGGAAGGCCGCTGCTCGAGGCAAGAAAGTGCGCTACTTGACTACGCTGGTCAAGAAATCTTCTAAGCTCTATAAGCCAGGCGTACTTGCCGTTGGCACCTGGGGCCACAATGTTGCTGGCCTCTCTGGGGCCCAAGTGCAGAGTGCGCGAGGGCAGGCCGCCGTCTGCTCTGGCCACTGGCATGCTGGAGCTTGCTCTACCACTATCCTGAGCGTCTTCGGGGCCGAGAAGAGTGACCCTATTTATCGTCTGCGGCGTGAACAGTTATCTGGTTTTGTCACGCTTTGGAAATCCCTTGGTGACAAGGAGAAGCTCCGTGTTTCCCAGGTCTGGCAGGCTCGGTTTCAGGAGTTCGTCAGTTTTCCAAGGAACCAAGTTTGGAAACGGGTCCGTGGGCCGATCGCCGCCACTGTTGCCGTTTTGCTTGATCTGGGCTGGTGCCCATTGTACCCAGTGCACTGGCGTGACAATTTCGGCAACGACCTTCACACAGAGGCCTTGGATTTTGCCGTGACACTGCGACGTGCTGTCAAGGCCACTTGCAGCGGCCTGGTCTGGCGCCAGGCTGCCAAACATTACCATGGGTATGGGATTGCGTCTGGAGTGGATTTCACGGTCCTCAGACAGGAGATCGCTCGATTGGGGAAAGATTTTGATTCCGAGGGGCAAGCTTTGCTTTGGAACCTTTGCTCTGCTGGTTTCTGGACTGACCAGAGGTTGCATGAGGAAGGATACCGCACGGTTTCTAATGGTTTATGCCCGCGCTGTGGGGAGGTTGGTGAGACCCCCTTTCACAGATTCTGGGACTGCAGGTGTAATGATTCCATTCCAGATCCAGTTGTCGAGCGTACAGCTCACCTCCGCGAGCAAGCTGCTCGTGACGTTGATTGCCCTGCCCTCTGGTGTCGGGGCCTTATGCCTCTAGACAGGACGGTCGGACATCTTCCGATCGCGACTGAAAGCGCCATTGGTTGGGGATCGTTCGAAGGGTTGCCTGTCTGCCAAGGGGGCGTTTGGGGAATCGACGGATCGGGGGGGGAGCACGCTAAGGATGAGAGACTAAGGCGGTGTGGTTGGGCCTGCGTCAGATTAGGTGCTACCCTGGACAACATCGATGGGGGCATCGCGGGAACCATGGGAGGTGAACAGTCGACCCCGCGTGCTGAACTTCTTGCGTTGATTTATGTTTGTCAACATACTTACGGTCGTGTCTTGGTTTTCAGTGACTACTACCCTGTTGTGCGTGCTTTCCGACGTCCACGGGCCTTGATGGCCAACTCTGGAATGCTGGACCTCTGGGTTCGCCTTTGGGAAGTCCTTGACGTCCGAGATGGGGAAATCGACCTCCGCTGGACCAAGAGTCACCCCACAGGCCCCCAGGTCAGCGCCCTCTGTCTCACGTCGATTGAGCTGCTCTTGAATGGAGCTGCCGATGCATGTGCTGGAGAGATGGCCCGTCGAGCGGCCGTTCCCCAGGAGTCGGCGGCCATCACATTTGAGCAGGATATGTTGAATAGGGATGTCATTCGTAGGCTTCTGGCCATCCAGCGTGAGGTGGTAGTGCAGCACCCGCGCGAGCGCACGCAGCACGCGCGTGTTGGGCATGAGCACGTGCGTGCGCGCGCTGGTTCGAGTGCACAGATCAGACGAGCTCGTATCGAAGAGCAGGGCCACTCGCCTGTTGAGCGCAGGACCCTGTTCAAGTGTAGCATCTGTGCTGCCCGTTTTTGCAAGAAGGGGCCACTGTCTGTTTTTTGGCCAGGCCCCTGCAACGCTGGGCGTTTTGCCCAGTACCGTGTGCCTCGTGAGGGTGAGGAGCTTGGTTTGGGCCCAGGGGCCGCGGCTTTTGGGCCTGCTGAGCATCCCATGGCCATCCATTGCCACGAGACCCATTCCTTATCTGAGCTGAATGGCGTTTTGTTCTGCACTGTGTGTGGAAGTTTCGCAGTCACAAGTGCCCGCAACTTGAAAAGTGAGTGCAGGCCACCGACCAAGAAGGGTTTGGAGGCTTTGGGCCGACTGCAGAGGGGGCTCCCGCCAAAGTCGGGAATGAGCTTCCCTCGGTGATTGTGGTGGGGCGGCCAGGCTAGCACCTGGGCACCGCGCGTCCGCCATAGCGCCATAGCTCCTCCTCCTCCTCCTCCTCCTCCTCCTCCTCCTCCTCCTCCTCCTCCTCCTCCGCCACCCCCATGACGCCTGGAGACAGCGCGGGCGCGGTTGCCGGGAACAGCGGCGGGGAATACCACGCGGGATGCAGAGCGCCAGACTGTCCTTCTGGGCGGCTAGGAAGCAGGGACGGGCCGCCCCCCTCTTCCGCGTCCTCTTGCTCGTCATGCGCTCTCCCCCCCCCTTGTCCTCCCCATCCTCCCCGTCACCCCTCGTTATCCTGCTCCTCGTCGACCTCCTGCTCCTCGTCCTCCTCCTCCTCCTCATCATCATCATCCTCCTAATTCTTCTACTGATCCTCCTCCTCGCACTTCCTCATCCCCCTCGTCCTCGTCATCGTCCTCGTGCTCCTCCCGTTGTGGTCTAAGGATGCGGGAGTGCGCGCTTCCCTTGGCCTGTGGGGGGGGGAGCTGCACGAACCCGCAGCTGACCCGCAGGAGTCAAGGGAGGGGGGTGCGGGGGGCCCGGGACAGTTCGGCACACGTTTTTGATCCGCGGGTCGAGAGCGAGCCTCTTCCGGTCGAAGCTAAGCGAAGCACACAGTTCGGCACACAGGCGCAGCCGGACGGGAGGAGCCGCAGGAATCCACAGCAGCCCATCGAAAGCCGAGCGGCCACTGGAACAAGTGCGGCCTTAGGGTGAGCGGGGGGAGGCCGCAGGAAGCCACAGGAAGGCAAGCGGCCAACCACGGGGACGGGTGCGGCACACGAGGCCAGTGCGGGGGTGGTCGAGCAGCCACCAGAAAGGGCAGCTGGCTGGACCAGTGGAGCGGGAAACCACAAGGGTCCATAGGAAGCCAACCCATAGGAGGCCAGCCGGCCAGCCATCGAAGCAAATGCGACACGCATGTCGTGTGTGGCGGGAAGCCGTAGGGAACCACAGGAGGCCAGGCAATGGGGATTGAAGCAGCCACCAGAGCAAGCGCGACGGGGCAGGTCTGGCGGGAAGCCACCGAGATCCACCCGCGCCCTGGCACGCTGAGGCACGGTAGAATGCCATTTGCTGTCGTGCAGCTTCTGTAAGTACGTCTTCTAAGGGACCACCCCCTCCTGACGGTGCAGACATATATATATATATATACACACACACACACACGCACGCACGCACGCACGCACGCACGCACACACACACACACACACACACACACACACACACACACAAACCTCCCAAGGGTCCCTGAGAGCCCAGACGCCTCGCTGGGGCTCTCGAAAGCTCGCCAAGGCTCCCACGACGGCCCAGGAAGTCCACAAAGACAGCCAAGGTAACAAAATATTGCTTCAAGACGCATCCCAAAGCCGATAAGAAGCGCCCAATCAGTCCAAAGAGGCCTCCAAGAAGCCCTAATACACAGCAACGACACTCTTCAAGAGGCCCAGGAGCGCCAAAAGACATTGGTTCCCATATGGTAGTTATGGTTTCGCTTCCCACGCTTTTCAATCGAGGATCAGTCCGCTTGCGGTCTTCGAAGACCCATCAGCGCTCACTGCGAATCCGAACAGCGCCCCTAGACGGCCCAGGACGCCCCTAAGAGAGCCCCAAGTTGGCCCAAGAGGGCCTCTCGATGACGCAAGACAGACCCAAGGCTGCCCAAGAGCAGCCACGAGAGAACCCCCAGACGGCCACAGGAGCCCCAGGCCCGCCCAAGAGGGCCCCGGGAGGGCCCCGGAGGACCCCAAAGAGCACCACACGGGGAGCCCAGGGCGGCCCCCAGACGACCCAGCTAAGCCCCGCGAGAACTCCCCTCGAGATGTGGAGACGAGAGGCGTCACACTTGACGCCCTTCCGGGCGCTGCTCGAAGGGTCGCCGCGCCGAGTGCCTCGCCAGCACGGCCTCGGAGTCGCGTCGCCGCAGGAGGCTGGACGGGAGGCCGAGCCGAAGGGATGCAGGCGGCAGGCGGAAGCAGTGCGGCACGCAAGGCTGGTCGGAGAGGGGAAGCCAAGGCCATACGGTGCAGTCCGCTTGGAGTCGTGCAGCCACGTGCAGATTGCGCCACGCAGCTCCAGTGCTTCCGAGCACTGTTCCCCAGCATTTTTCGCCCAGAAGCGGGGAGGTGGTGCACTCTGGACGTGCAGGCGCTGCGTGGTGGAAGCCGTGTGGTGCCAGCTATGTGGTGCAAGCTATTCGGTGCAATACGCATAATGCAAGCCGCCTGAACCGCTCCCAGCGCACGGCAGGCCCACGAAGCACCCACCGGGCGGCCACCCACCGGGCACCAGACGAAACCCCGCCCCACCCATCCAACGAACTAGGAGAGAAGCAAGAGCCCTCAAGTGCAAACACGGTTCGGGGAATACCCATCGGTCGGAAGAAGTAGGTAGAAACATGAAGTAGGAAGGCGTTGAAAGTAGATTGCGTGTCCGCCCGCCCCCTAAAGAGGACGGAAAAGGTGAAGCCACTCGATCATTGAAGTAGGAAGGCGCTTAAAGTAGATTGGCATCTGGAACTCCAAAAATACCTCGGTTGGGGGCATCTGGAACTCCAAAAATACCTCGATTGGGGGCGCGCACAAGGGGGTGGGGGGAGGGGGGAAAGCTTCTTAGAAGAGGCCTGCTTCTTGAAGGCGCGGGCCCTACATCTGCAGACAAGGCCCGCAGCTTTCTAAGAAGCAGGGGTGCTGCTAAGAAGCCTTCCCCCCTCCCACATACCCCCCTCTGCGCGTGGCCGACAGACGGATCCCCGCTCTACCCATCCAACAACCTAAGAGAGAAGTAAGAGCCCTCGAGTGCAGGCAGTGTTCGGGGAATGCAGAGCCCAGAAATGCAAGCTCTGTTGGGGACAACGTGTGCAACATCGGTCTAACTTCTATATATATATATATATATACCTACATACGTACATACTTACATACATACATACATACATACATACATACATACATACATACATACATACATACATACATACATACATACATACACACACACACACACACACACACACACACACACACACACCACACACACACACACACACACACACGCGCGCGCGCGCGCGCGCGCGCGCGCGCACGCGTGCAAAAAGAACCTAGCACGACCCCACGGCATCTTCTCGCATGACTTTATGGGGCCCAGGAGGGCCCCAGGACGGACCAAGAGGACCCCAAGAGGCCCCCAAGACGGTCCAAGAGGGCCCCGAGTCGCCGAACGATCGCCCCAAGACCCCCTCGATGGCCTCAAGACGGCCCCAGAAGCCTCCCACGGCCCAAGAGGCCCCCATAAGAGGGCCCCACAAGGGAAAAATCTGTGATCTTCCCATGGCTTTTGGAAGGATTTGGGCGCTCTCGATGTGTATGCTTCCCGACGCTCCAAGACGACCCAAGAGGCCCTCAAGATCGCCCCAAGACAGCCCCAGAGGCCCCCAAGAGGGCCCAAGACGGGCCTAAGAGGGCCCGAATAGGCCCCAAGAGGCCCCCAAGACGGCCCAAGAAGGCCCGAAGACGGCTCGAAGAGGGGGCCCAGATGAGGAGCCCGAACGGACATTTCGAGCCCTCGGCCCCGAGGGGCCCCCAGGAGGCCACAAGAGGCCCCCAAGAGGCCCCCAAGACGCCCCCAGAGGCCCCCAAGAGGCCCCAAGAGGCCCCGAAGAGGCCTCCGAGGATCCCAAGAAGCCTAAAAACTGCCCCCAAGAGGCCCCCGAGAGCGCTCCGAAGCGATCCCAAGAAGCATCCCTGAGCACTCGAACCCACAACACAGGCACGGTGGCGGGATGGACCGAAGGCCATTAGACAATGCACACAGATTATCCCGGCAAAGCAACCTAACAGCGATGTGTAGGAGCATATCTGGAAGCATTCCCCTTAAGATTCAGATAAGAATCCTGTTGTAGAATTCTGCTGTTCTCGCAGTCGTGGTCGCATTCGCGATGGCAGTCGCAGTGGCAACAGCAGTCGCAGTCACAGCCTCAGCCTCAGCCTGCCTCAGCCTCAGCCTCAGCCTGCCTCAGCCTCAGCCTGCCTCAGCCTCGCCTCAGCCTGCTTCAGCCTCAACATCAGTCTGCCTTCAGCCTCGGCCTCAGCCTGCCTCAGCCTCAGCCTGCATCAGCCTCAGCCTCAGCCTCAGCCTCCTCAGCCTCAGCCTCAGCCTGCCTCAGCCTCAGCCTCAGCCTGCTTCAGCCTCAGCCTCAGTCTGCCTTCAGCCTCGGCCAGCCTCAGCCTGCCTCAGCCTCAGCCTGCATCAGCCTCAGCCTCAGCCTCAGCCTGCCTCAGCATCAGCCTGCCTCAGCCTCAGCCTCAGCCTGCCTCAGCCTCAGCCTGCTTCAGCCTCAGCCTCAGTCTGCCTTCAGCCTCGGCCTCAGCCTCAGCCTGCCTCAGCCTCAGCCTGCATCAGCCTCAGCCTCAGCCTCAGCCTGCCTCAGCATCAGCCTGCCTCAGCCTCAGCCTCAGCCTGCCTCAGCCTCAGCCTCAGCCTGCTTCAGCCTCAGCCTCAGTCTGCCTTCAGCCTCGGCCTCAGCCTCAGCCTGCCTCAGCCTCAGCCTGCATCAGCCTCAGCCTCAGCCTCAGCCTGCCTCAGCATCAGCCTGCCTCAGCCTCAGCCTCAGCCTGCCTCAGCCTCAGCCTCAGCCTGCTTCAGCCTCAGCCTCAGTCTGCCTTCAGCCTCGGCCTCAGCCTCAGCCTGCCTCAGCCTCAGCCTGCATCAGCCTCAGCCTCAGCCTCAGCCTGCCTCAGCATCAGCCTGCCTCAGCCTCAGCCTCAGCCTGCCTCAGCCTCAGCCTCAGCCTGCTTCAGCCTCAGCCTCAGTCTGCCTTCAGCCTCGTCCTCAGCTTCAGTCTGCCTTCAGCCTCAGCCTGCCTCAGCCTCAGCATCAGCCTGCCTCAGCATTCAAAGTGTGGCCCGGGAATGGAGTTCTGGGAACTCGAAGAACACGAAATGGCCTACAGTTGGCTCCGGGCATTCAAAATCATGCCCAGGAATGGAGTTCTGGGAACTCGAACACCACGAAGTGGCCTACAGTTGGCTCCGGGCATCCAAAATGTGGCCCGGAATGGAGTTCTGGGAAGTCGAAGAGCACGAAGTGGCCTACAGTTGGCTCCGGGCATTCAAAATGTGGCCCGGGAATGGAGTTCTGGGAAGTCGAAGAGCACGAAGTGGCCTACAGTTGGCTCCGGGCATTCAGAATGTGGCCCGGGAATGGAGTTCTGGGAAATCGAAAAGCACGAAGTGTGTGACTGTATGCGAAAAACGATCCCCCCCGGCAAACCCCAACGGCCCCCCAACGGCCCCCAACGGCTGCCCAGACCCCCCTGTGGAGTAATGTGCTGCTCTCTTTTTAGCCCATTAGAAACCTATCAGTCTTCGATGTTAGGTAAAAAAACGAACCTGGCACGACCCCAGAGAAATGAAAAAATCAAATTGCACAGGCGCACTGCGTGACAATGCTTGGCATTGCTCGGCATTGCGTGGCATTACGTGGCATTGCTTGGCATTGCTTGGCATTGCTTGGCATTGCGTGGCACAGATTTGCATTGGTTGGCATTGCTTGGCATTACGTGGGCAGGCAGCAAGGAACCAAGGAACCAAGGGACCACGAAACCACGGAAGCAAGGAACCAAGACCTGGGAACCATGGAACCAAACACAAGGAACCAACGAACCAAGACCAAGGAACCATGACCGAGGAACTACGGAACCAAGACCAAGGAACCAGAGGAAGACAGCAAGGAACCAAGACCACTGAGCCAAGGAACCAAGACCAAGGAACCCAGGGAGCGCAACTGTAAGGAAACCGGGGAACCCCGAGGAACGCCACTGTAAGGAAACAAGACCGAGGAACCCAGGGCAACGCCAGCCGGCGCAGGCCAACGCCACTGTAAGGAAACGAAACCGAAGAACCCCGAGGAACGCCACTGCAAGGAAAGAGAACCAAAGAAACCCAGGCAACGCCAACCGGCCAGGGCAGGCCTGGCACTCTGGGTTGCCTGGGTTGCTTGCGTTGGCTTGGTTGCTCGGGTTGCTTGGGTGGCTTGAAGCTTGGGCTGCTGGGGCTGCTTGGGTTGCTTGGCTTACAAAGACCAAGGAACCAAGGCACCAAGACACACGAACCGATGAACCAAAACCAAAGAATCAAGGAACTCAGGAACCAAGGAGCCAAGGAGCCAAGACCATGGACCCGAGGAACCAAGACCACGGAATAATAGAACGAAGACCAAGGAACCAAGGAGCCAACACCAAGGAACAAGAAAAACACAACCAAGGAACCAAGAAACCAAGAAACCGAGGAACCAAGACCAAGGAACCAAGACACCAAGGAACCGAGACCAAAGAAAAAGGAGCCAAGACCAGGGAACCAAGCAACCAAGACCAAGGAACCAAGCAACCAAGACCAAGGAACCAAGGCACCAAGACAAGGGAACCAAAAATTCAAGACCAAGGAGCCAAGGAACCAAGACCAAGGAACCAACGAGCCAAGACCAAAGAACCAAGGCACCAAGACCAAGGAACTAAGAGTTCAAGACCAAGGAACCAAGGAACCAAGACCAAGGAACCAACAAGCTAAGACCAAAGAACCAAGGCACCAAGACCAAGGAACCAAGAATTCAAGACCAAGGAACCAAAGAACCAAGACCAAGGAACCAAAGAACCAAGACCGAGGAACCAAGGAACAGCCGGGCTCTTCACGAACAAGAAACGAACGGGCTCCTCATAAACAAATAACACCCATCAAAGCAAAGCCTAGCTCGGGAACAATGGTATGGTCCATCCCATTCCCTTCCATCCCTTCCCTCCCTTCCCTTGCCCTCCCCTTACCTGTCCTTCACATCCAGATTTCGGTCCATAGCTCGCAGCACGACGATTCTGGCCAATCCTACTCCTTGGTTGACCATACCTGAGCACCGACTTGTGGACATGTGGGGATCAATGTCTGAGCCCAGAGATGAATCTTCAAATCTGCTGGATGATCGAGTGAATCGGGTGAGCCAAGATCGCCATGCATTGCCAGCCCGAGCTCTTCAGGGCCCATCCCTGAGGCTTGCCCGTGATGACGTGAGTGTCAAAAGCTAGCGACGAGGTCAAAGAGATCGCGATGTGGCGCGTGGGGGAAGCATCATGAGAAAATGACATTAGTCACGGCAGCATCGTTGACAAAGACTTCCTCGATTGTTCAGCATCGCTAGTAACACTGACAGTTTGCATCGCCACATAACGAAATGCAGCCGTCCCCATGAACAACGAACTAGAATATGGCAGCTGTCTCTACAAAACGCCTGGGGAATCGTAGCGAACAAACGATCGCGTTACCAAGTCAAAGACAAGTGAAAGGCGCATCAAGAGGACAAGCGACAGGTAAACGATAAGGCAAGCTAGAAGCAAGTCCAAATCAAGCCAGAGCCGGAGGGAAGGGCAAATCAAAAGCAAGCTAGGGGCTAGCGAAGAGCCCAGCGACAAGCAAGCGACAGGAGAGCTGATGAGGACAACTCGGAGGAAGCTCAGGGCAATCATCGAAGCAAGCTAAAGGCTATCGAAAAGAAAAAACACTTAAGCTGAAGGCAAGCTGAAGGGAATCAGAGCGCAAAAACAAAGTGTGTGGGCCTCCGTCGAACTGGGCGAGGACTTCCCGAAAAAAACGCGAAGTGCGCGTCGCACTTGACAAGTACTTGAGGAAGGGTCCCCGAGAAAGTGTGGTGCCAGGTAATATCGACAAGTGGCACTCTCGCAGAAGACAGAATCGAAAACTGGATCGGCACTCAGAACTGTAAGAATCAGAGCAGCAAGGAGGATTTCTCGGGGCCACCCGACGGCCACTGACGCCTAACGCGATGGCATCGCTGCCCACTTCCTTGGGCGCAGAATAAGAGAAGACGACGACGCGGTCCTGCTCGCTCGCAGAAGGACTTGCACAGAGTGTCCACGATCTGATCGCACATCCCAGGTATGTCTCCGTGTACTTCCTGGGGTAGCGCTGGACGTGAGCAAGTCAGCCCCGCGAAGAGAGCGGCAGACGACCCGTCGGAGAGGCGGCGAGGGAAAATACCAGCGCGAAGTATCGACTGAGAGCAGGATCCTGGAATCGTTGCCTTCGGCAGTGGCTGCCCCTTCGGCACTGGCTGCCGCCTGCACGCTGAGATCCAGAAGCTGATAAGGGCGTGCGCGAGAGACCAAGATGCCTTGGATGTAAAGCCCAGGTTGAGCAAACCCGCTATGTCGAAGTTAACCCCAGGGGCTCCTGAGGTCGACTATCGGACCATCCCCAGACACCGAGCCACCCAGCCGCACTCGGCAAGCGTATGCACAGCTGCCAGTTATCCCATTTCCGAGCCTTACCGAGACGCTCCCACAAAGTCGGCCGGGAGCCCCCTGCTGAGCCCCGAGATCCGCAGCTGTACCTAGGAGGCGTGAAATGCAGCTACACCTATCCCACGCTCCCTGAGAAGGCTCATGGAGTGCAGAAAAACGCAGTGAAAGACAGGCAAGCCACTTACATCATATAGCATGCTTTTGAAGTACCACACCCGCAAGCTCAAGCAGCCGATGGATGGCCTCCAGACGGATGCCCCCCGAGTCGGTGGCCCCCAGAGCCCCAAGACAGCCAATAGCACAATGACAACGAGGCAGTCTCAGTCAGGCCCGAGCCCGCCCGAAGGGCTCCCAAGGCAGCCCCAGAATACAATCCCGACTCGGGTGCGCCGAAGAGGGGGGCCAGGAAGAAGAGTGGGTTAGCGCATCATGGCCCGAGGCACGTGCGCGGACGAGGGGGGCGAGTGCACGTCTTGAAAGCAGAAGAGGGAGCCTGACAGGTGGGAGTTTGTATGGCCCCAGCCATAACATCCACACACCCCTGGACCTCATCACTCTCCTGGGCGCCCCCCGACCAACGGCACACAAGACTTCGCGTCCTCGTGCCGCCCACTGGGAGAAGGGCAACAGCTCTCGCTCAGACCGCGACGCGCGATGCGCGGCTATCTTCGCGTCCCTACGGGTGACCTGGACTTCCCCCCAAGATGGCCCAGCGATCCCAGGACGGCTTCCCGAAAGAGGCCCCAAAGAAAGCCTCTCGGGGAGGTCCCCCCCCCTCAAGAGGCACCAGGCCGGCCAGGCCACGCAGAGGACACCGCCGTGCCGCCCTGGGCGGCGCTGCTGCGAGGAGTGCTCGAGAGCGGAGAGGCAGATGTGCGCGGCAGCCCGACCAGACCCGTGCTGTGTGAACACACGTGCAACGAGCAGGGACCTCAGCACTGTGAGACGAAGCCGGGACTGGGACAGAATCTGGCCGGGACACCTCGGGCATCTCTGAGGTCCAGCGGTACTGGAGGACGCATCGGGCGCCGCGACAGCTCCAGAGCGCTCCAGGACGCTCCGAGAGCGTTCCAGCATGCTCTGCAACGACTTACCCTGGTCCTGGCGCCGCCCGACGCGGCCTCGCGTGGCCGACGTGGCCAAAGTCAAAAAGCCCCGAGTCCAAACATGCTGGCGCTTCGCTCTCACTTCCAACGGCCTTCCGCTGGCATTCTGCCGCAGGCGAGAGGAGCGCCGCAGGCGAGGCCCGGTCTGGAGCGCGCCGCCGCTCGGATGACGTGCGCCTGTGGCGTTGTGTAAGCTCCGTGGGTGGAGCAACCGTGTACTGTATGGGCAGCGCTGCTCGCTGAGTGAATCGTCGAGTCACCACACAGACTAACGGAGAAAGCACACAGGCGGTCCAAAAAGGAAGCAATGCATGCAGTGACAGAGCTGGGGAATGTACGGTGGCTCCTGAACGCTCTGCTCGCACATGTCGTAACACCATTGTAGGGGATCTGGCGTCCCACCTCTGAAGCCTATATCAACATGAATATCCTCAGGGCTCTTCACATTGGCAAAAAGATCTGTCGTAAACGTAGTCGTAGTCGTGGTCGTGGTGGTAGTTGTTGTTGGGCGTGCTCCGCATAATCTTCGCGCCTGTACAACAGGAGCCGCCCTGCTCAATCGAATGACAGCAACGTGACCGGCACAATCCCCCCATGCCCTTCAGGAGAAATTCGAATCCAAGGACATGCACTTAGCAGGTCCTCAAACGTCTGTGCATAAGACCTGTTCCATATTCGTCCTCTGACCGCCCCCATGTCTGCAGAGACTGGCACGAGAATGAAGGGGCGGCTTGCACGAAGGCCTGCTTGGATTTCTGTGTGCAGACGGAGGGGGGGACCCGATGTACTGGGAGGGGGCCGCGTGTGGATCCCGTGCGAGCCTTCCGTGCAGGAGGCCACGTGGCTCCCGCGAAGCCTCAGCTCCGCCTCCCGCCTGCTCCACGCACGATGCACTCCTCCTGACGGGCGTCTGCACCCTTCCCAACCCAGGAGCGCCGCCCCCGATGCCCTCTGCAGCGCCCGACGCGCGGCGCAGGAGGGCAGCCCCCGTGCCAAGGTCGGCCTGTCGGCCTCGCTTCGCACGGGCTGTCCCGACCTGCCTGGCAGGCCCGAGCTGCAACGCATCGCAGAAGCGGATCGGACCGAGAACGGCTGCGTTCGCGCCCGAGCCGGCGCGGCATCGGACTGGGATCGGAGCGAGTGGGATCGCGGAGCGGGCTCGGCCCCTGCAGAGTGCTGGGCGAGGAACGGCACCGCGTCGGGTCGGATCGAAGTCCGCGGGATCGAAGCGGACTGCGACTGGACCTGGGCAGGTCCTCGCGGCGGCCCTGTCGGGGGCCGACCCGCGCCCTCGGCACAGCTGAGGCCTGGCCTGCACAGACCTCCGCGAGGCCCACGACTCGTGCCGATGCGACGGTGCCTTTTCCCGCCGTGCCATCTTCTTTCTTCGTCGTCCTCCTACCCTTCGTCCTCTTCCTCTCCTCCTCCTCCTCCTCCTCCTCCTCCTCCTCCTCGTCCTCCTACTTACTGCAACTACTATCTCTCCTACACCTCCTGTTTTTGAACTGTGCAATGACACCTACCTCTTCGCCCTGTACTCCTCCTCCTCTTCCTCCTCCTCCTCCTCCTCCTCCTCCTCCTGCTACTCCTGCTACTCCTCCTCCCCCCGCACCTCACGTGCTCGTTCTGGGAGCCTTCCTGGAGCCACGCGATCCACTCATGCGTCAATTCTCCGTCGAGCGTGCGTCGATCTGAAACGAAATTGAATCGAACCTGAGTCTCGCTGGCAACGGCGGGCTGCCGGCGGCGCGGCCGCTCCACAGAGGCGAGAGCGCCGCCCTGGCCTGCCTCGAACCTTACGGCGATCGCCGGCCCTGCTCATCCCCCCGCATCCTTCTCTTCCTGCCTCCCACTCCGGCCCGGCAAGAGGGTACCCATCGGTCGGAAGAAGTAGGTAGAAACATGAAGTAGGAAGGCGTTGAAAATAGATTGGGTTCCGTCCGCCCCCGAAGCAGGACGGAAAAGGTGAAGCCACTCGATCATTAAAGTAGGAAGGAGCTCCAAGATGATGGAACCTGGGAATCCAAAAATACCTACTTTCAGCGACCGATGGGCACCATCGGCCCGTACCAGAAGGGTGCGCGATAAAAATGCAAGGTCCTTGGAAGGCCATTTCGAAGCTCTTCGAGCGGGGCGCGGCCAAGCAATGTGGCCCAGGATAGGCCGAGGAGGCAAGGATGCAAGGGTAGCCTCGGGAAAGTCGCTCATCCTTACCATGCGGGTCGACTGAAGGAAGGCAGGTGCGGGAGTCCTGCCGAGGCGCTGGCCTCTCCAGTCGCCTCCCGTGCCACGTCACCTGGGCTGTGCTTCCCTGCAGCTCCGCGCCCTCCCTCCCCTGGCATCCCTCCGTGGGTGCCCCATCTGGCGGGGCCTCTTTCTGGTACGCCTTCAGGTACATCGGGCAGTACCTCAGCGAGCGAAGGCTCGCCCTCGTTCAGTCGCGGTCGGCCCGGCCCGATCGGCAGACCGCGGCCACCCCAGATGCACCTGCAGCAAAGGGTGCTGGCTCGACCGCTGGCGGCAGAATGGGCAACCTCGCCACGCGAGGCACCGTGGGAGCCCTTTTGCGTCAGGGCTCTCGAGATTGCGTGGGGCGATCTAGGGCCGCTGTCTGGAAGCCAGCACGCCCGGGCAGTCTGAATTTTGAAGACCGCTGGAGACGCACCAAAGCACACCCGACGCCTGCCGCGACATCCCTCCAGCCCTACCCCCTCCTCCACCTCCTCCAGTTGCCAAGTGTCGCCCTCGATCCTGGAGGGTCGAGTTTCGGATGTTTATTCGGGGACGCACTGAACAGGGCCAATGCAAACCCGAGTCAGTCAGGCCTTGCAGGATCCTGCAAGAACCTGCAGGATCCTGTAAGATACTGCGCGCTAAAACCTGGGTCAGTGCACCCCTGGCTCTGCAGGATCCTGCAGGCTCTGGCCGCCTATGTCTGACCCCCGTCTGCATGAACGCCCGTCTCAAGGCTCCCGATTTCGAGCACTTGTCAGGCCCACGGTTATGTCGGGCCTGTCCCCCTACAGGCGTTTACATATATATATATATATATATATATATATATATATACAAAAAACAAAAAATGCTCCCACCCGATTTCCGGCGCTTGCTGGGCCTGCGGAGACCCCAGGGAACCTCCGGGCAACCCCCCCCCTGGGGGTCAGGGACCTGGGGAGGATGGCCTCGACCGCTGTCGGGCCGGGCGAAAGGGGGGGATAGCAAAGGACGGGGTAGAGAATCAGCTCACGTGGCTGACTTTCCCGGCGCCTCCCGGCGCCGGGAGGCGCCCATGTATCGAGGAATGGGCCCCTCGGTGGGGCCGAAAGCAGCTGCACGCAGCAGATCTCGTAACCCCTAAAGCAGGGCTAGGATCGGGATAAATCGCTCCAGAGCGTTCCCGAGCGCTCTCAGAGCGTTCCGGAACGCTCTGGAGCGGCCGCGGCGCCCAATACATCCTCCAAACCCGCCGATGCTCAGAGATTTCGCGTTCTCCCGATCCTTTCTTGTCCCGATCTTCGCGTCGTTTTAAACCCCCCCTTTCCCAATCCCCCCCTTTCGCCCGGCCTCGGCCGCCGGGGGCGGCGCTTCTTCTCCATGGACTTCCAGCACGGGTGCGCGTCGGTGCACTCCTGCGGGGGGGGGGGAGGCCCGCGGCGCCCGGGGCCGCGAAGCCCGCCGGGGGGGAGAGGAGGGGGGGGGGGGGGCAGACTGCCAGGGAGGAGGAGGAGGAGGAGGAGGAAGAGAGGAGGAGGAGGAGGAGGAGGAGGAGGAGGAGGAGGAGGAGGAGGAGGAGGAGGAGGAGCAGGAGGAGGAGGAGGAGGAGGAGGAGGAGGAGCAGGAGGAGGAGAGGGAGAGGGAGAGGGGGGGTGAGGATGAGCGACTCGAGCGGCAGCCCCGGGACCCTCAGGGAACGGCGGAGCACGCTGGGGGCGGCGCCGGGGGGCGCCGCCGGGGAGGTCATGGCGTCTGTCTGAGAGGTCCACGCGGCCCTCCGAAAGTTTTTATGCTGGTGCCGAGTCTTCGACAGACAGGGCAAGGCATGCAGACGGACCAAATGAGAGGGACAACCAGAGCTGGATGGACGAACAGGCGGACGTCACCGCCCCTCTAACGGGGACTCTACTAACGGGTACTTTGGCCAATGGCCTGGCGAACCCAACCCTCCCCGGTGTGGGCCACGCTGCAATGCCAGAAAAATACCCTACAGCGACAACTTTCAGCACATCTCCAAAGTACCCATTAGTGAGTACCCGCTACAGTGGCGTGTCGTCGGGGAATCAAGCAGTGGCGAAGCGTCCTGGCTCGGCTATAGCCTGTAGCCCTACCAAGCAATGTTCTAAGAACCTTTTGTGGTTTCCACGAAATGTTCTAAGAACATGTCTGGCGGAGTCTGTCTTGTTTTATCACGTCGGGGTTATGTTCTAAGAACATTGTTTTTGTTATAAGAACACTTCGGGGTTCTGAGAACAGTTCGGGACTACAGGCTATTCGGAACATTTTGGGGTTCTAAGAACATCTAATAACATTTCGTGGTAGGACTATAGGAATGAGGAAGGGTGCGGGGCGGTGGGGCAGACGGGCTTCGAGGCAGGCACGGAGAGCGGCGGGCGGGCTCCTCGGTGCAGCGGTACTTGATGTCCTCGACAACCTGCAGGGCGGTGCGGCAGCAGAAGATCTTCTCCGGGCCGAATGCCCCCGCGTAATCGGTCCTCGCACAGAAGACGGCACTGGCCACTGCTCGGACGTCCATTCCCCGTGCATGCTTCGACGTCGTGCGCTCACGTTGCGCAAGATGGTCCCCAGTGCTCCTCGATGGTCATCGCCGAGAAACGATGCACGCGTCTGAGCGACGCCAAGACGGAAAGCGGCATGCAGAACGAGCCACTCAGAGGCTCGTTCTGCATCGCGACCGCGACCTGGCACGCACCGAAACAAGCCTGTCCAAATGTTGCGATATCAACTGGACAAGCTAGTGCCTTTCTTGCGTATGCCTTTCTAGAGATGTATTGGTGTGGCAAATGAGATGTACCATCAAACCTACCTTCTCGGTGAAACTGCCCGTCTGTAATCCGGGGCCCCAGCCAGACTGCACCAGTGCAATCTCGGGGTCTTCAAAGAGCTGCGCTTGCCAGCCATGCAAGTTTGCACGCGTCTGGCGCGCAAGGGAGGGAGGGGAGGAGGGGACGGAGGGGGAGGAGGAAGAGAAGGATTAGCGTCTAGCGTGCCTTCCTCCACCTCGACCTTTGTTGCTCGGGCTTGCCATGCTTCGGCTTGTCATGCCTGACCTTGCCTTGCCGTGCCGCGCTTCGCAATACGTGTCTTTGTTGATATGTACTTTGACACGCGTTGCCATGCCACTCCGTGGCTTGCCTTGCCTAGGCATACCTTCTTCGGCAGCTCATTGTGCGAAGTATATCGCCCAGCATGGCCCTACCTTGTTTGCGCTATCAGACCGTAAAACGTGCCTCTTTGGCAACACTTTCGGCGCCTATTCGTTCTTGAGGGGCATCCTTGACACTTCGCGTATCGAACCCCACCAGCCAATCTAGACAAGGAGAAGATTCCTGGGCGGATTGTCATGAGAAGGGCAGCCGCGCTGCATAAGTAAAACAAATGGCACTGGCCAAAATGAAGGACATATAAGCAGCCCCGCCAAAAAATGCGGGGCCATCTGGAAGCCTCTGAGAGCCATCTTAGAGCTCTTGTGGTGTCCGGTGCCCTCGTGGGGCCCTTTGGATAGCTTTCGGGTCCCCTGGGGGCTCGGCGAAGCCACAACGAACCTTCCAACCCTGCTAATCCTCTTCCGCGCTGTCCTCTCCGATGGTTTCTCTCTCGCTATTTCACTCGGGCGGGGAAACAGCATTACACTACGCATGCGCTCTAAGTACGCTTGCGCACGAAATTTCAAGAAGCCGATCCAGACGGCTTCCAGCCAGTCGAAGAGGCTCCCTAGAACACCCTACAGCGGCCCCGAAACAATTGCAGATCGCCCCCATACAGCCCAAGGCCTGGCTAGGATAACTCCAAAGCAACCACTGACCACCAACTGTTCCAAGCCCGGTTCGGGGCACTCCCGAGGCCGCCCCAACATGCGCCAACATGGCTCCATGATCCAATCAGGGCACCAACAGACGTCGAACAGAAGAAGCCCTTCTGAAGACGATTTCAAGAGCCCCCAACAACAGATGTTGCCGGTTTCTACATATGTTGTTGTCTGACGTGGGCACATCCAGCATGCACGTTCGTCTTCACAGAGTAGGGGGCGGCGGTGACTCGCCGTGGGCACCTTCGAACCTTACAATGGGCGTACAGCACAACAGATCAGTAACACACCCGCGCATGAGAGCATCATGTAGGCTTTCTACCCGAAACTGTTTCTACACTCGACACCCTGAGCGTGGTAATTGGGCGGCCTTTGGGTGCGAGGCATATGTTCAAAATATTATGATTCTCGACGTTTCGTGTCTCACGCCGTCGCCATGGCGTCAGGCTCCAACGAAAGTCTACGGGGGCCCGAAGTGGATCCAATTGGCCCCACGCGAACAAAAAAGGGACCAAAAGACCCATGAGAGGCTCCAAGAAGGCCTTGCTACAAGTGATGATAAACTCTCTCGCGCAGCGGGCAACCTGCTTCGCCCTTCGAACTGAGATCGTGCACATCGAGGTGCGCCGTCACGGGGACGTTGAACCTAGAGTGCCCAATGCACCCTTCAGTTTTGAAGGGGCCGTTCGGCAAGCAGTGCCCAAGTGCGCCTCGCAATTTTGAGGGGCCGCTCATCGGTGACCTTTCGACGAATACCACCCAGCGGTGTCTCGTCAATTGCGACAGTACTTGCAGGACACTCACTCACTCACTCGCTCTCTCATTCACTCACTCACTCACTCACTCGCTCACTTGCGCGCACAAACCAAAAAGACAAAACGACAACAGAGGGTTGTAGACCTTTAGTGTTCTACCTCGTCGCTTCGTCACAGCACCCTAACAAAGACCAAAGAGGATCCAACAAAGACGTCATGCTTTCACAAGTCGTCTTAAGAGGCCTCCAGGATAGTCCTATGACGCCTCCAAGAAACTCCAGGAGAAGCATAGTATGTCGCGGAGAAAGCCCACAGGGCCCCTGATAGTCCCAAGAGGGCCCCAAGGGAGCCTCAAGGGAGCCTCAAGAGGTTGCCAACATATTTCCAAAAGAGTCCCAGAGAGGCCTCACATACTTACCCCACAGAGGACTCAAATGAACCACAAGACTGCCCCCGACAATGCGGCAACAAAAATCAATCATGCTGCCTCAAGCATCACGACAAAACAACATTTCTAGCGACGATCGACTCCAGTGAGTTTCAGAGGAACGCGTGGTCTGGATGAATAAGCAAGGCGTCCCTTTCATCCATACATCGTACGTGCGGTCCTCGTACCAGACACCCAGAACGGCTGACATCTAAAAACAAAACATTGGAGACAGAGTACACACACCGAGGAGGGATGAGAAGGGAGAAAGAGTAACAGCGAGAAGGAGAAGGAGGAGGCGGAGGGGGAGGAAGTGTCGAAGATATGGGGGAGGATGGAAAAAAAACTGTCGGGCACGTTGCCTTCGATACATATTATCACTTCTAGGGAAATACGATGCACCCGTGCAGAACTTCACAAGCAGCGCAAAGGTCCTCTTGTACTCCTTCGGCTCCTTGCACTCCGCGTGCAATCGATCCTGAGTATGATCCTGATGGTGCGCACGAGACGCAGGTAAAAAGGGATGGTAACTACAACTCCAGCCAGCAGCTGGTGTCAAAAAACAAGCATGCAATGAACTACATAAACATCAACGATGCGAGCAGCAAAGCAAGCAATGAATGAACACAGAGCAGGCAAAGAAGCAAGTAAAGAACACAGAACACAAATAAGTAACATTGAAAGGTAGGGGGGAACAAAATTACGAACGAGAAGCATCAGAACAGAGATACAAGGTCGAAACGCAGGAGCATAAAGGCGACGTGAACATGATGCAGCGAAATATGATACCGCCCACCGAGCCGAATACGTGCTAGAATCTCTGGCAAGAAGAGCCAAAATATGTATATTGCCAACTCGCGCGTGTGGGGGGGCCCTGTGGGGGGGCCCTGGAGGTCCTGGGAAGGAGAGCACAATGCAGGTATCCGGCGAGTACCGTATCCGGACCGTCTCCCCGGTAGGATGCCGGAACTCCCAGGAGCAGCCCGAAAAGCTGCCAGGTGTGCGCCGACATTGTCTGCGAGGCCTCCCGGACGCGGCACACGCGGCCACCTGGTCTTTCCAGGCCGCCAGGCAGCCTCCAACATGATCCCCACGAGCCACAAGACCGCGACAAGCAAGGGACGACAGAACCACCCAGGGATGCCTCCAAGAAGTCCGCATCCCTCAGAAAAGAACGGTCTTCCCATGACTGCGGTTCTCTCGCCTTGTTGCTTTCGATGAGCTCCTGAGGCCTCAAGATTGTGTGTATAGGGATACGACCGAGGAGTCGAGTCGATCCTATACTAGGGTCCGTAGGTAGAGGCACAGGAGGAAGAGGATAGCTACTCCCTTCTCCTGGGGGCTGCGCAGAGAGCAGCGCATTGTGTACGTGAATGCCAATACCTGAGCCGATACAGCTGCGGTATGTGAGGATATAGAATGGGGATACGAGCGGACTTCACACACACAAAGGTGGCTGCCAGGTCGCCCAAGATAGCTCAAAGAGAAGCCCAGAATGGGCGCCCTGAGGGCTCTGGAGACCCCCGAGATCGCCCCAGAGGTGCCCCAAGAGGGCTCCAAGGGGTGCGTGAGGGGGCCCAAGACTGGCCCAAGACTTGTGAATGCCACGACAATGGACACCCTAGCAGTCCTATCATTGAATATGAAATGTGTTTGAAATGTCGGAAACATATTTTGAACATGTTCCACACATCTTTTACATGGTTTAAACCATGCTCAACAGATGTTTTACACATCTGACAATTATTTGGCAACACGCTTCCTCTCCATTGATCGTCCTCCACAACCCGAGACCGGGTTCGATCGACGGATGGCGGGCCGCAAGATTGCCCAAAAAGAACCCCCAAGAGTGCCAAAGGTAGCCCCGATGTGGCCCGAGACCGCGCAGCAGTATGACATCCAAGGCAGAAGCAGCCTTGAGATTCCCAAAACAGTCCTTGCACTTAGGGGTCCTTCCCTCTGGGATAAAGATCTGGGCATGGGGGTCGGTCGGTCTAGCGGCTATGCCGTCGCCGTCGCCGCCCCGTCGCCGCCCCGTCGCCGCCCCGTCGCCGCCCCGTCGCCGCCCGGTCGCCACCCCGTCGCCGCTTCGTCGCCGCCCGTCGTCTGGGCCTGGGGATCGGTCTGGCGACTTATCGTTGCCGACGCCCGCTCCTTCGCCGCCTCGTCGCCGCCCGTCGTCTGGGCCTGGGGGCCAGTCTGGCGGCTATGTTGTCGCCGTCGCCGCCCCGTCCCCGCTTCGTCACCTCCCGTCGTCGGGGTCTGGGGGTTGGTCTGGCGGCTATGTTGTCGCCGTCGCCGCCCCGTCGCCACCTCGTCGCCACCACAAGGTGTACCACATAGAGTGTTCCACATAGACTGCTCCACATGGATTGCACACCACACAGACTGCACACCAAATACATTGCACCGCATTGATGGCATAACCTCGATTGCACCACATAGCTTGCACAACATGTGAGTGCGCTTTGTTATGTCTTTCTCTCTCCCTCTCTCTCTTTCTCTCTCTCTCTCTCTCTCTATCTCACTCTCTCTCTCTCTCTCTTTCTCTCTCTCTTTCTTTTTCTCTCTCTCTCTCTCTCTCTCTCTCTCTCTCTCTATATATATATATATGTATTTCTCTCTCTCCCATTCTCTATCTCTCCATATTTCTCTCTCTCTCTCTCTCTATATATATATATATACATATATATATCGCTAATATCTATATATAGCTCTTTATTTCTCTCTCTCTCACTCTCTCTATATCTCTCCTACAAGATATTACGACCTACCCCCGCCCCGGAGTGAACCCCCACTGTTTTTGCATTGCTGTTCGTATGCGATTCTGCCCCATCGTCAATCCCAAATAAGAGCTCATACAATCCCAGGCAGTCCCTTATCGCCTCCCGATCATCCTCTGCATAAGAAAAAACCCTCGTTTATCAAAAACAACAATTTTCAAGAACCCCTTCCAAAATTGGTCGACGTGCACACGCGCGCGTCCTCGCGCGCGCATGCCGTAATCCTTCAAAACCTCAGGTTGCGTAAGGAATTCAAGATCGAGATCCCGAGTTTTGTTAATTGAAGAACCAAATAAGGACACGTGACATCGCAACAGGAGTTTTCAAAAACCAACAAATGCGCTCGCGGTCTTGCGAACGCTTCGGAAATGGATAGAAGCCTTCAGCGCGTCATCCAATGCTTCCAAACGTGCCTTTTGCGCGCGCGTGTCAAAATCGTTCGAACGCCTTTTGCGCGCGTGCTATCGCAAGAACCCGTTTAAAAAAATTGACTGAAGTGCACACGCGCGCGTCGTCTCGCGCGCATGCCGAAATCTTTATTCCCACAAATAACGTGGGGTCCTTGTTTTCTCTGGACACCCTCCGCGCAGGAACCTCCATCCCACTCTCCGCCTCACTCACGCATTCACCCCGTCATCGGTCATCATCACCACCGGGCATCATCATCACCACCACCATCATCACCATAGTCACTCACCATCGACCACCATCACCATCGGCCATCCATCACCATCATCATCAGCATCACCACCACCGCCATCATCATCATCATCATCATCATCATCATCATCATCATCATCATACTCAGTCGCACATCACACACTCTCTCTCATCACTAACATGATTTTCCTGAGACCTGGATATGGGGGAAGCATCAGGCGGGAGGCTCGTCTGTGAGCGAATTGCGAGGAAGTCTCAGGCGGGAGCCCTGTTCCTGTGGGGCCCGCACTTCATGTTCCTAATCCGAGCGGTTCATCCTCGAATCTGCAACTGTCCTCACTTCTAGGCTCTGGAGGCCTGAATATGGGCGCGAGGAAACCTCAGGCGGGAGCCCTCTCCCTATGGGGCCCGCCGAACCTGTAACTGTCGTCACGTTTTGGTTCCTGAGGCCTGAATATGGGGGAAGTATCAAGTTGGAGGCTCGTCTGTGAGCGAATTGCGAGGAAGTCTCAGGCAGGAGCCCTGTCCCTATGCGGCTCGCACTTCATGTTTCTAACCCGAGCGGGTCATCCTCGAACCTGTAACTGTCGTCACGTTTGGGCCCCCAGGCCTGAATATGGGGGAAGCATCGGGCGGGAGCCTCGTCTGTGAGTGAATTGCGAGGAAGTCTCAGGCGGGAGCCCCTTCCCTATGGAGCCCGCTCTTCATGTTCCTAATCCGAGCGGGCCATCCTCGAACCTGTAACTGTCCTCACGTTTGGGCTCCTGGGGCCTGAATTTGCGGGAAGCATCAAACGGGAGGCTCGTCTGTGAGTGAATTGCGACGACGTTTCAGGCGGGAGCCCTCTCCCTATGGGGCCCGCACTTCATGTTTCTAACCCGGGAGGGTCATCCTCGAAGCTGTAACTGTCGTCACGTTTGGGATCCTGAGGCCTGAATACGGGAGGCTCGTTTGTGAGCGAATTGGAAGGAAGTCTCAAGCGGGAGCCCTCTCCATACGGGGCTCGCACTTCATGTTTTTGAATACGAGCGGGTCAGCCTCGAACCTGTAACTGTCGTCTCTTTTGGGCCCCTGGGGCCTGAATAAGGGGGAAATATTAGGCGGGGGCCTCGTCTATGAGTGAACTGTGAGGACGGCTCAGGCGGGAGCCCCCTCCCTATGGGGCCCGCACTTCATATATTTTTGTGAAGAAACAACAAAAAGAACGAGCGGGTCATCCTCGAACCTGAAAGTGTCGTCACGTTTGGGCTCCTGAGGTCTGAAAATGGTGAAGTATCCGGCGGGAGCTTCGTCTGTGAGTGAACTGTGAGGAAGTCTCAGGCGGGAGCCCCTTCCCTATGGGGCCCGCACGACACTGAAGGTTATTTCCACATTATTTAACCAAAAGGAATTGTCATGAGGGGTCTGTCCGTCGGAGTAATTGTAAAGTATTGTTTATACATGTATACATAACACACAGAAAACAAACAACAACAAAAAGCGAATGTTCCTAAATTGCATGCCCCGGCAACACATTTTCACAAAAAACATCGGTTTGCAACACAAGCTTTCACATGAAGCTATACGCGCGCCCACCTGCGAAGTCTTGGGAAAACCAACGGTTGTTGCTCAACGTTTCCATCACATTCAACCAAGCGGGCCTCTCGCACCGCATGTCAAAATCAGTCGAACGCCCTGGCGTGCGCGCTGGGGGGCACGAACCCTGTCAAATAACACCATGCTGGCCACTCGCGCGCGTCGGCCGCGCGCGCATGTCGAACTTATTCCAAAACCTCCATCACCGACGCGAAGACACAGTCATCGCAGTCGGCGCGATCAGCATCGGCGCTGTCATTAGCCTTGCCGTCGTCATTGCTACCATAGTCACCATCAACGATACTAGCACCATCGCGTCCACCAGCGTCGACGTCGCAACGATACCGCGCCCGCCCCAGTCACCGACTCGCACGGAAATGCCCGCTGGGAAACGCCCACAGGACAGCGCCACCGCGGCCGCGTCGGTCGCACCGAACTAGCTGGCCGCTGCGCGCGCGAGCATGCGCGGGCTAGAACGGCCGCAGAAACGCACCCCAGCCAACACCAAGCATTGATCGCAATCGCCGCTGCATGGGTGTTGCAAACCAAATTACGGGTGGGCGGGTGGGATGATGACGCGAGCAGCGGAGTTGACAACTCCAGTTTTTTCCCAGCTAATTGCAGAACATTGATTGACCCGAAAAAATCCCCTGGTCAAAGAAATCATCACGATATACCTTCCACCCCGGGCTTAAGCGCACGCCTTCGGGCATTGTGGATTACGCATGATTCTGCACCATCGCCCATCCGAAATTCGAACCCGCACCACCCCAGGCAGTCCCTCATCGGCCGCCCACCCTCATCTTCGGCATGCGCGCACACTCGTGTATCTAAAACAAACAATGTTCAAATACCCCTACCCACAACTGGGACGACGTGCACACGCGCGCGTCGTTGCGCGCGCATGTCGGAATCCTTCAGAACCTTCGGCCCCGAAAAAACGCCGAAATCGAATGCTCCGGCAAAAATGCTCACGACCGGAACGGAAGGTTCGAAAAAGATGCGCTCTCACTCTCGCGAATGCTTCGGGAAACTAAAGGTTTTTGTTTAACACTTTCATCAAACGCTACCAAACGTACCTCGCGCGCGCGAACGTCGAATACGCTCGAACGCCCTCGTGCGCGCGCTGCCGCAAGAATCCCTTGCAAGATAAAGCGGGACGAATTGCACACGCGCGAGTCGTCGCGCGCACTCGCCGGAACCCTTCCAAAAAACCGTCGGTTGCGCACAGATGTTAACATCGAGTTCCGGGAACTTTGTTTTATTTCCTTGTTGGTATATATAACACATATAATTTGAATGTATCTAAATAACAGGCAGCATCAGTTTTCAAAAGCAGGTCTGCGGGCGCTCTTGCGACTTCCCACGAACACCTGTTTCACTGTCAATTAAATTCCACCAAGCGGGCTTCTCGCGCCGCATTCCGAATCATTCGAACGCCCTTGCGCGCATGCTGGGGGGGCACCATCCCCATCACATAATAGCATGCGGGCCATTCGCGCGCGTAGGCCACGCGCGCGCGTCGAGCTTCTTCGAAAACCTTCATCACCGACGTGGGGACATCGCCATCGTCATCGGCGTGACCAGCATCAGCGCCGACACTGGCCTCGCCATCGGTACCGTCATCATCGCCACCACCATCGCAACTAGAATCGCACCGCTTACCTCTGTCGACGTCGCAACGATACCGCGCCCGCCCCAGTCACCGACTCGCACGGAAATGCCCGCTGGGAAGTGCCCAGCGGACAGCGCCACCGCGGCCGCGTCGGTCGCACCAAACTAGCTGGCCGCTGCGCGCGCGAGCATGCGCGGGCTAGCGCGGCCGCAGAGATGCACCAGCCAACACTAAACACTCATCACAATCGCCGCCGCATGCGTTTTGCTAACACCGAGTTGCGGGTGTGCGGGCGGGATGAGTGCGCGAACAATTGAATCCCACCAGCGCTTTGGGCGACAGGTGGTCTCACGAGGGTCTCTTTCCTCTTCCACAACCCCTCTTCCCTTCGGGGACGGGAACCCTCCCCCTCCCCTCCCTGAGGTTTTTTGGGGAGGGGGTCGCGATGTGTCGGAGGCTCCTTTTTCTGCCATTGGGAGGGCCATGTTTTGCCACCCCTCACGTCGATAGTGGCCCCCGAGGGGGGGACGCAAATCTAGTACCCCCCCTCTTTTGACCGACCGCCTCCAAGGTGGCTCCAAGAGACCCTCCAGGGCTCCCAGGAGGCTCCCAAGCATGCCCAAAGAGCGCCTCAATAAGGCCCAGGAGGCCTCTAAAAGGCACCCGAGCGGCCCCCGAGGGGCCTCAGAGAGCCCAAGATGACCTTCAAGATGGCTCAAGATAGCCCAAGCTAGCTCCAAATGGCTCCCAAGATGCTCCTAGAGGCCCCAAGACTGCTCAAGATGGCCACGGAGCCTCCCCAGGATACTTGAGATGCCGCAATCCTTCAAAAACGTAGCGAAAAACTATGAATCTGGTGTTATCGCCTTTTTGCTTTCGATGGCCTTCCGGGGCCTCAAACTGGCTCCAAGATGGCTCAAGAGGGCCCCAAGAGAGCTCAATAACGGCCCCAAGAGCGCCCAAGAGCGCCCCGAGAGCGCTCCAAGAGAGGCCCAAGAGGCAATCCCACCAGCCCTTTGGGCGACAGGTGGTCTAACGAAGGTCTCTTTCCTCTTACACAACCCGTCTTCCCTCCGGGGAGGGGCCCCCTCCCCCTCCCCTTCCTGAGGATTCTTGGGAGGGGCCGCGAGATGTCAGAGGGTCCTTTTTCGGCCCGTGGGAAGGCCAATGTTTGACACCCCTCACGAAGATCGTGGCCCCCGGGGGGGGACGAACATCTAGTACCCCCCCTCTTTTGACCAGCCGCCTCCAAGATAGCCCAAAGAGGCTCCCAAGAGGGCCCAAAGAGCGCCCCAAGAAGCCCCAAGAGGCCTCCATGAGGCACCCGAGAGGCCTCGTCGGTGTCGTCGTAGTCGTTGTCGGCGGCGTCGTCATCGTCGTTTTCGCTGTCGTCGTCGGCGTCGGTGTCGTTGCCAAGTGCCATTTGATACCTACCGTGACAGTCTTAAGTGGTCTCGCGACCAAGCTGCGGGTGGGAGGGTGGGATGCTTGCACGAGCAGTGGAGAGGACAGCTTCAAGTTGAGCAAGTGATTCCTTGCACCGCATAGATCGCATAAAATAGATTGTCCCACATAGATTGCACAACCTATATTGCACTGCATATATTGCGGCGCATATATGGCACCACGTCGACTGCACCGCATCGGCAGCACCACCCAGAGTTCACAGTACATATATATATATATATATATGTATATATATATACATATCTATATATATGTATTGCACAACATTGATTGCACCACATGTATTGCACCACATACGTTGCTCCACATCCGTTTCTGTGGCGTGTCGGGGGCGTCCCGCATTTTGCGCGTGAGTTTTTCGAGACCGAGGGTGCCCAAAAACATGCCAGCAGGGCCCCAAGAGGCTCTCGAGACGGCCCAAGAGGGCCCCGAGACGCCCAAAGATCGCCCCAAGACGCCCAAGACGGTCCCAAGACGGCCCAAGAGGGCTCTAAGACGCCACAAGAGGCCTCCAAGAGGCCTCCCAAGGGGGCCCCAAGAGGCCAAAACCATTGATTGTTCTAATGTGTTTCAGGGTGTTTGGCGTTCTCGCTCTTTTCGGCTTCCCAACGCTCCCAGGCAGCCCCAGAAGCCCCCAAGATCGTCTCAAGACGGCCGAAGAGGCCCACAAGAGGACCCCAAGACAGTCCAAGAGGACCCCAAGACGGCCCAGGAGGCGCGCAAGACGGCTCCAAGAGGGGGCCCAGGTCGGGGACCCGAACGTACATTTCGAGCCCTCGTCCCCGAGGGCCCCCAGAAGGCCCCAAGAGGCCCTTAAGAGGGGCCCAAGAGACCCCAAGAGGCCCAAAAAATGCCCTCAAGATGCCCCCGAGAGCGCTCCGAAGAGACCCCAAGGAGCATCCTTGAGAACTCTGACCCACAACCCAGGCGCGGTGGCGGGATGGGCCGAAGTCCGCCGCCCCCTGTTGATTAATCACAGGGGTGCCTGGCGTGCTGAACCCTTTCGGTTTTGGTGTTGGTTCTTTTCCAAAAAGACTCCCCCTGGGGCTTCGGCCCGTCCCGCCGGCCACCCGAAAAGATTGCCCAGGACCTCAATCCCCCAAAAAATCCTCCAAGACGGCTCAAAATGGCCTCCAAGATTCCAATATGGCCTCCAAGTCCGCCCAAGATGGTCCAAGACGGCCTCCAAGACGGCCCAAGAGAGTTCAAGATACCTCCAAGGTCGCCCGAGAAGCCTCCAAGACGGCCCAATACGACCCAAGAGGCCTTCAAGAGGTCCTCCAGGAGGGCCCGAAGAGGCCAAAATCATTGATTTTCATCCGGTTTTTGAAAGATTTTGGCATTTGCTTCTTCTCGGCATTCCGACGGCTGAAGACGGCCCAAGAGGCCCCCGAGATCGCCCCAAGATCGCCCACGAGGCCTCCAAGATGACCCTATGACTGCCCAAGAGGCCCCCAAGACGGCCCCAAGAGGGCCCCAAGACGGGCCAAGAGGCCTCCAAGACGCCCAAGATGGCCTCTAAGACGGCCCCGAAGCGCCCCAAGAGGGCGCCAAGCCGGTTCAGAGACGCCCCCAAGACGGCTCCCGACGGCGTCAGATGAGCCAGGAACGCCCTACGACGGCCAAAGAGGCCCCCGAGAAGTCCCAAAAAGGCCCCAAAAGGCCCTCAAGAGGCTCCAAGAGAGCCCAAGATAGCACCAACATGGCCTCCAAGACGGTCCCAAGATGGCCCAATCGAGCCCAAGAGTGCCTCAAGAGGCTCCGAAGATGCATCCTCCCTCTTCTCATTTTTCCTCCTTCTCCTCCTCTTCCTCTTCCTCCCCCACCGTGTTCCCCGAAGGCTTTCCAAACCGACTCGGGGAACACATGGTCCGATAGCTTGGCAGGCCTCTGGCCACAACGTTCGGCCACATTAGGCGCTTCCGAAAGGGCAGGGGGCGGCGGTGATTCGCCGTAGGCGTGTTCGATATATTGCACAGCACATGTCGCTATAAACATAGTGCTTGGGGCCCACGCCGGCTAAGATAGACTGGGAACTCGGTCTGATGTGAAGCCCACTGCAAGAAGCGAGCACAGACACGAGCGGCTTCCTCGGGAATCTTCCAAGGCGGTTTTCTGGTCGTTGACGTGATCGTGGTCCCCGTGGTCGTCGAGGGAGCGACAGTCGTAGGCGATGCGCCTGGCCATTTCAACCTGGGACTTGCAAACAGTGCAAGTGACTATCTATCCCGCCGTGCGCCCCAAAGCGCGCCCTCCACGCGCGCCAATGCCCGAAGTACCACGAGACAAGGAGGGCCAGCGCAGAACACGAGATGAGAACGAAAGAAGAGACAAGACAGGCAACATTGGTTCATCACTGCAGATTTGCTGCAGACGTGCTGTTGCAGAAGGTACCTGGGTCACCTAACTTCGCGCATCGCGCCCCACGATGCGCGACGCGCGATTCTCTTCGCGCCCTCGCCCCCTTGCGCCACCGCCTTGGAGAACGGCAGCCGTGCGAAGCGCGACATCTTCGCGCCCCCGCGGAGCAAGTCGGTTCCGCTGTCTCTGCGACTCCGTTCACAGCGGACCCTGCTCGCACTGCGTGGCTGGTGTCTTGCGTGCAGCGCTGGCGGGCCTCATGTCACGGTGCGCTGCACTGCCTTCTGGCGGTTTCAGAGCGTACGCACCGTGCCGATGCGGTCGCTATCTAGCCAGCTGCTACATTGCTGCCTGTGCCTTGGTGAAAACTGCTGGCAATACTGAATGTGCTAGCCGTGTCTGCTCAGACTCTTGCGACGATCCTGTCTGAATATCGTATATAACTAATTCGTGGCGCCAACTACAGGTCCATTGCTGGAAGAACCAGAATCTAGGAAGGTATGACAACTCCAGCACTCGTGATGCGAAAAAATCAACACACAGTGCCTGATGGCGCTCGCATTCCAGAATCGTGCCACCATCCGGGCCTTACGATAATTTTGCGTATAAGCCACACTTCCGCAATGGAGCTCTGCTTGGTGTGCATGCCCTACCGGCTGCCACATATAAGCGACATTGCCGTCGAGGTGCCGTCGAGTCGCAAGCTGGCAGGCACCTGTGAAAACATGATACCGACCACATATCACGACATGAAAATCTTCACTACTTGGCATCGTTCCTAGGAAGATGATTGCAGATGGGTTCGCCGATCCCGAGGGCACTGCGGCCAATCCCCACCATGATCGCCGCCCCACGGCATATCAACACCCGTCACGTTCGTCTTCGGCCAAGACCCAGCGCCATCATCCTCCTGATGACCGCCTGCTCCCGCGTCGCCCTCACCAGTCAGAGCTCTCAGTGGGTTCCACGAGCTGGCGGGACTAGACGACGGTGCCTTAGAATCGCCCGCCGATTCTCCTGCGGAGGGCTTCGCCACTGAAGAATCATCTGCTCCAGGCGCCCCCCACCACCCGATATCTTGACTTCCCTCTTCGGGGGGAGCGTCCACCACGGTGAAATCGTTGCTCGCCGGGCTGCCCGGAGCCGTCCACGCGGTATCCTCTTGCGTGTTCTCCTCCTCTGCAGCAGAAGAAGAATCCGACCACGGCCACACCTCCCCTTCCCCCTCTCTGCCCTCGCACCATGAGCTCCTCCTCCCGCAGCTGCACCAGATGGTGTGCACTGAAATCCAATAGTGTGGTTTGAGAGCGTGCCACGGAGTTGCCGCAGCGAGGTCAGAGACAAATGCGTCGCAAGCGGACTCCCGACGTCTAACAACCCAAATGGGTGAACGTCCAGAAGTGCAAAACGCAGATCACCCAAGAGAGCGGGACAAACGAAAAAGGTCGCCAGAAAGAGAAGAGGGAGACTGAGAAAGGAAAGGATGAGATCCAATCGATGCTGATCGTAAAAGTCGCAAGCGTGCAATTCTTTGGCCGCAAAGAACTGACTCCTGAGGACGTGGGCGGACCACGCATCATAGCTGCACAAGTTTCAATACAGCACGAAGGCGGAAAAGCCCTGGCTGGCTCCGTGGCAGCAAGACGTACAAAAGTCAAAACAGCAGCAGCTTGGTTGCAAGTTAGAAGCGGGCAACACAGGACTGGTACTGAAGCATCGAGCATGAGAATGATCCGTGGTATCATTTCCTACCAAAACTGAACAGCCCCACAACATGACCCCAGCAATGAATAATGCCGAGAATACGAAGGCGACAGACAGCAAGATAACCAACAACAACAACAACAACAACAACAACAACAACAACAACAACAATCATTTTAAGACTGTTCGATCTTATCTGTTCACGTGCGATTCAACACGTATATCCGAACCCTCGATACCCGCCCTCTTCGTCCCCGACCGTACCCCCTTGGGGGTATATCGTTCTTACCTGCAACGTGTATTTCGCGCAGCCCCTGAAGCAGGGGAAGAGAGGACGGATGGAAGGCAGGACATGGGGGAGGGAGGAGGATGTAGCACGGGCTAGGAGCAGAAAACACGCGACAGAACCAGACGGGCAGATCGGGCGGGTAGACCCTACCAGGCGGGTCGGGAAGGAGGGCCCAGGCTGCCAGGTCGAGCAGGCGGGTTGCTGAAGCGTGCGTCCTGCATGAATCGCAAGGAAATCTCGAGCGACAGCTCCATTCCCAAATCAATCGTGAGGAAATCCACAGCGAGAGCGTGATTCCTGAATGTCGAGGGCGCGGCGTCTGAATACATTGGGAGAAAGTCCCACGCGAGAGCGCGATTCCTGAATAAATGGTGAGGAACTCCCGCGCGAGAGCGCGACTCGGAAACAAATTGTGAAGAAACATCAGGCGGGAGCCCTTGGTGTTGCAAACCTGGGGCCATGGGCCCAGTTTGAGGAGGGAGACTTTCCCTGATAAAAAAAAAAACAGGCTGCGAGCGCCAGGAGGGGCACTTCAATTGAAAAAAACAATTACTCTCCAGTAGTGAGACCTCAACAACATGAACACCAGTAGTACAACCCTCTAAACTTACAACCGACCACAGCAAATGGCTAAACATACGCTTGGAAACCAAACCCAATTACGCGATTGTTGTCTGAAAGCTTCCGTGTACGACATATTGGGCTCGGACGTGACTGTTGCCACAATGCTCGTGGTAACCCTTCGTTTCTCTACAAACATTACACTCGGGAAGTTTACATTGCCTTCTTCAGCGTTCGATTCAAACTCTTAGCACTTCGTTTTAGCTGATGGCAGAAACGTTGGCCACTAGCACGTTACATTGGTACTCCATGGCTTCTGGCGCGTGGTTATGATTGCGCGTGCTTGTCAACGTGTACATGTGTAATTGCACAGCGCTCGCTTAATATGCACCACTGGTGGGACCCAGTTCTATTTCAGAAAAACACAGCAGCGAAAAGAGTGCGCACACGATCATAGGTTTCCCCTGGAAATGTTTTTTGTTTTACGCGCCCGCCCGAATTGAAAAGTGTGAGGCTGTTCAAGTGACATGGTACCAAGAGTGTCTGTACGCACTACGCGCGCGAGCCTTTTCGACTGCGCATGCTGCAAAACTGGACGGAAGCATGTTGATGGGCAAAGTGTCCTGCGAAGGCATGCCGACAAGCATATACGAAGCGGTGCTAATAGATGCTGCACGGACGTCCTGGAATAGCGTGATGGCCGCAAACACAACATGGTATCTGCGACCTGCTTCAGAAAAACAGCATAAGAAGCCAACTCTAACTCGCCGACCCGTCAGACACCTGTGAAGCAGTCTGCCGTGAAACGCCATCTAAGAAACTGTTGCCCGACGTAGCCAACAACCTCGGACAGCGCAAATGGAAGAGTAAGCGAAAGATGCTGAAAGCCGCTACACCCATGCGAAATTGTCTTTCCCTTCAGGCACCCATGCTGGCTTGGCTTTACTACAATAAAATCGGTCGCCTGAGGCCGATCGGATATGCGGACCCAGCGCCTATAAGCCCTTTTGCAACGCGAAAACTAAATCCAAATCCAGTTACAAATGTTCCCACTTCGATGGGAAGCCCCTCATCGTGTTGACTGCGCTAGTGGCCCTTGCCAGACTGCTCCACGCCTAAAATGCGCAAGTCTTCCCATCATGTCAATCACATTCCCCGCCTCCCGCCCTTGGCTGGCCCACGTCCTCATTGCAAGACCCACTGAATCCCACCAGCCCTCATTGTAAGTAATCGAGGGCGCTTCCTCTTCCAACCCACTTGTTTTAATGTGGAAAGCATTTACGGACGAACAAAAAAAACGTGATGGGCAGAGCCTCGGATTTGAGGGTTTCGGGGGACTTTTTAGGACTATGGTGAAGCTGTGTTGGGAATTATCTTGGGGCCCTCTTGGGGCTGAGTGTGGGCCCTCTGGGGCTCTCTTGAAGTGCTCTTGGGGCTTCGCCGAGCCTGAGGAACCCTCCTGGGGCCTGTCTTGCGACCAACGTGGCGTCAAGTACGAGTGGTCGTGTGGCCTGCTCGCGATTTAGATCTCTCCGGGAGCCCTCCACGGCGGTCATTCCTCCGTAAGAGCCGATCGGAAGCCAGCAAGCGATAAGGCTAAAACTGGCTAGGAGGTGGGTTCGGCACATCTGCGGATAAGGGAACCACTTCCCCGCCAAGGGTGGTTTCAGGGTGGTTTGGGCGCGGTGGACGGCAGGTGAAGGTTTGTTTTCGTGGTTTAAAGGTGGTTTCGTCTCGGGGTGTCGGTTCTTGGCTCCCCTGAGCATGTCGTTCGCGTGATACGTATCGGTTGCGTCGTGTCGAGACGATGAACACGAACGCGCGTCGACGGAAAGTCTACAACAACTTGCAACAAATAGAGGACCCAACACACTGGGCGCATCCATCTGGATCACCCGACCGCCCGCGCATATGCCGACAATGTTGCTTATGTTGCGTTGGCACACCGCGCATGTGTATCATGTACTCAGAGTCTCACAAGCACGGCCTAGCATCGCTACGGCGCATAACTGCTAACGTCATTAAAAATAAATTTAAGGGATATAGTTCCGATTTAAGGGATTAAACCCTCCCACGACGCCTAAACCTTGACCCCCCCCCCAAATGGGCGGGGCGGTGACCTTATCCCCAAACGACATCCTAGCCAGCTAAAACCGTGGACAAAACTAGACGGCTAACAATATTTAGCCTCTCGAGGCCATCCTCGGGATGCTCCGGGCCCACCTTGGACCATCTTGTAGCGGTTTTCAAGTCTTCTAGAGGTCTGGCGAAAGCCATACTGGGCAATCTTGGTGCCTGTCTTGGAGACCGCCTCGCCATGCATTGCCCCGCCGAGGATAAGACGGGGGAGAGGCACGCCAGTCTCGGGGAAGTCCCTCTTCAGGATTAGGAGGGGGGGCGCGACGAGGTAGAGCGTCGAAGACGGCTGAAAGTGGCTCAAAGATGGTATCAGGTAGCTCAACAGTATGCCCAAAATGGCACGAGGGAGTCCTGGATGGCTCAATGCTGGTTCCCGCATGCCCCCAAGAGGCTTCAACTCTGCCTCAGGACGGCTCCAATTAGCCAAGACTGCTCCAAAAGCACCCCAAGGTTCCTTCCGACATGCCAAAATCATTCAGAACCAGGTGTGTGTCGATAATCGTTACATTCTCGCATTCTTGTCCGATGGAATTCCAGGCCATCATTACGGTTCAAAAGACGCCCAGGGGATCCCCATGACGGGCCCAGACGAGTTCCAAGATGGCCCAACGAGCACACAGGAGCGCCCCAAGAGCGCCACAGGACTGTTCCGTGAAGTGATTATTGAGTCCCAGAGGAACAACCCAAATCAGGGAATCATCCCTTCTTCATCAATAAAGCAGATGGGAAAACCATGAGATGTTAAAAGATGCTGGCTTTTTAAGTGCATTGCTGGGGGCGTTTGGCCCAGATGGCTCCGAAGTCGCCCAAGAAGCATTCAGGTGGCCTTCAAAATAGCACAAGATGGTCCAAGTTGCCTTAACATTGCTTCCAGCATGCCTCCAACGGGCTGCAAGACGGCCACAAGACAATTACAGGTGAACTCGGAGGCTCCCAAGGACGCCCCCAAGAGGCCAATCCTTCAAACGACATCTGTGTTTCAATGGCACATACCATATCGCATGGTCACTTCCGACGGGTTTCTGAGGCCCCAAGACGGCTCCAATGTTTCCCAACACAGCCCCAAGAGAGACCTAAAAAGACCCCAGGACGGTCCCAAAAGCGCCCTAAGGGCGTGCCACGGGGTCCCAAGACACGATGTGTCGGGCTCCAGCTCCGGCAGGAGGAGGAGGAGAAGGAGGGAGGAGGAGGAGGAGGAGGAGGAGGAGAAGGAGGAGGAGGAGGAGGAGGAGGAGGAGGAGGAGGAGGAGGAGGGAGGAGGAGGAGGAGGAGGAGGAGGAGGAGGAGGAGGAGGAGGAGGAGGGGACGAGGCTAATTACTGCAACCCACGTTTTTAATCGACGTCCCCCAAGACGGCCCCAAGAGGGCCCCCAGGAACTCGAACCGGGGCCCAAGGGGCTCCCAAAACAACCCCGACGGCGCCCAAAGAGGGCCCCGAGAAGTGTTCCACGGGCTCCCGAATCGAAAGATCCGTGACGGCCTCTACGGTTGGATCCTGAGTCTGCTCAGGCTGACCCCAGGCTTTGGTTGGGCGGCTGCCCCCTTCTGTTTGCCACCGCATGATTCGACGCTTCCTTTATCAAGGAAACTCGCCCGGGGATCGTTTCTGGATGGGCTGGTGGGGCAAAGCACAGCGTCAACACTTCATCAACAGCGTTGAAGTCATGCGGCAGCTATTGCTACGATCCGAGTATATGTAGATTCGCCCTCTTGTTCGTCCTACCATCCTCGTTTTCCTCCTTCTGCTCATCCTCCTTATTCCCATTCTCCTCTTGGCAATCCACAAAGCATTCATTATCGTGTCATGCTCGAACAGCCTGCCATGCGCGGGAATGCCCATGAAGAGATATAACTCAATTAACTTCATTACCGTTCGGTCCAGGCTCCGCTCGGGGCCTTGCTACATTTGCCATGGCTGCAGAAAATAGCATGTAAGCAACAGCACGCGCACATCTGCCCGTAGCTCGAGAAGTCTTTCCTGCCTGGAGGAGCACGATGACTTCCGATGCGGCAATGGATTCCGCGCGGCGCGCTGCTGATCAAGGCGTGATCACAATATTGCGCATGATATTGTTCAATTATTTCAAGTAACAGTCGTTACCCAAGGGTGGGGGAGGGGTTGGGGCCCTCGGTCACAATTCACGCTTGGGCGGGGTGGGGCATGGTACGCGCGCGAACACCAACATGCGAAGAGAGACTCAGGCCCCCCCACGCACGACCGCTACCATTACCCGGAAGGGGGCGGGGGGGGGCGGGCAACGTCCGCGACGCGCCCGAGGATAAAAACAAAGTATGTCTACATACATCTGTTCAGCACGAAACGACGCCTAACAAACGAGCAAAAAACGCAACGCCGCGGGGCCACGAAGCCGTCGCGACCGTCCGAGGCGGCGGGGGGAGACAGCAGCACGGAGACTGCAGCACCAGCGCAGCCACGTGCAGCGAGGCCGCCACACGGCACAAGCGTTCGATCCCCCGCGGCAACCACGGAGCGCGCTCGATGGCCACCCCGAAGGTAAGGCTCCCTTGAGTCTGGTTTTTGATGTATTGCGTGTGAACATTGTTATGCTGAAAAACAAAACACGCTCAAATCTATAGGGAGGAGAAGTGGGGAAGGGTAAGGAGATGAAGGTGCTATAGGTATGGGCAAGGTTGCCGGACCCCGAGGGGGTTCCCCTTCGAGCGCGGGCCCCCATCCGACAACACACGATAGCCCCCCACGAAATTCCACCCCGAGAAATCTACGAGTCGCATTCGCATGGGCCCCTGGAGGGAAGGCGGCCCAGGCCAACAGTAACGCTTGCGTAGGGTGTGGCACGTCGGGACGGCGGCGCGCTGCGATCGCCAAAACATGCGCGCGAGCACCAGCATGTGGGGAGGGGTTCGTGCAACCCTCTTCGTACGATCATTACCGTAACCCGGGGGGGAATAGTCCAAATAACGACGGTCACGGGCCAGAAGATACAAAAGCAATGTCCTCCTGGAAGCATCTAAGAAGCCCAAATACAATACATATACATAACGATATAGGTACAAATACACTCGGTCATTTAAGAAGCCCCACATCGAGATCAGGATCCTGGAAGCAACCGCCGATAATAGTGTTGGTGCCTAGGCCTCCGAAAAAATGGGGGCACCAGGGGACAAACCGAATCCCGCTAGAATGGCAGCCGAAATGACTGTCCGCCTGGCGTCCAAATTTACAGTTCGCGTCGCGCGAACCGAAAAGAACGCTTGTTTGCGCGTTCTCGGGTCACCCCCAAAAGAAACCAAAACCATTATCTTGGCACCGCCCACCTGAGCAAAGAATCGCGGGAGGACGAAAAGGATGAGGTAAATAAGAAGAGGAAGAAGAAGAGGATCACACAACCGAGTTTGGGAAAACGAAACTCGAATACACAGTGTGGCCTGGAATATATTTGTGCTTGGGCTGACACCATAAGCGGGACTACGTGAGCTTGGAGAGGAAGGAGAAGGAATAAAAAAAAACGTAAACATATACACACGTACATACAAATATGTACGCACCTGATATGCACACTAAACACGGCTGGTCAACGATACGCCACGGTGATAGCAAAATGCGGCGCGTGCGACACAGGAAATATGACACGGGCAGTACCAATCAACCATCCCACGAACGGGCATTGGCCCGAATCTCTGAACAACGGAAGAACACACACACATACACTTGTAACTTGGCAGCGCAGAAGTTCCTCAGGCGCGGCCAGTAGATGAAAGTGCGAATTGCGATCGAACAGAATCGAAAGCGCACTGAAAAACACATCGAATATTAACGTGCACGGATGGCTGGCGGGTGGGAAGGACTGCAAACCAGCGACCGTGCAGCGGCAAGAAAACCGCGGAGCACGTCCGAGCGAGCTTCACTCAAGGCAGAACACACACACATATATATATATATATATATACATACATACATACATACATACATACATACACGTGTATGTATACATATACATATATATATATACATACAAGATTGCAGTGGCGTTTCGCGCTTTGCACCTAGGTCCTTGAAGTTTGGCACGCAGGCGGAATAGCACGAAGGCCAAACCGACAATTTAGCGATAACTCCTTGTTGCCTTTTCTGGCATCGCCGCTATAATAATGTTATTCGTTGTCCTTCCTCCATGCTTACTTTTCCTCATGTTCGCTATATCCTGCGCATTCTCCCCATCCTCCTCAGTTTGTTTGCGGAGCCTCTGGGGCCTCACAAAAATTGTTCCAGGCTTTCTTTAAGGCCTTCTGGAGGCCTCTTGGGCGTATTCTGGGGGCCTCTGGGGGCTTCCTCGGGCCACCCTGCCTCCAGCCGCGGTTTCCCTGAACGACCGGGTCACGATTTGGAATGCTTCGGAGGGCGTCTTGGGGCCATATTGGGCCGCCATGGAGCTCTCTGAGGGCCATAGTGGACCCGTGTTGTGCCGTTTGGGGGCTCTCTTGGACTGCCTGGAAGCCCTTTCGGATGGTTGTGGAGCGATTTTGGAGCCTCCCAGGCGGCTTCGGACGCCCAGAAGACCGCCGTCTTGGA